AGGCGCCGAGCCAGAAACGTTTTTTTTAAGGCTAGTCAAGTGAAGCAGTGGGAATGGAGAAGGAACAAAGGGATCTGTAACTGATTGTGATCAATGGAAACTTTTTAATTTAGTCAGGTCCCATTTTTAACTTTTGTTGTTGCTGTGACTGCTTTTGAGGTTGTCTTTATAAATTGGGTACTTGTGGCTATCCAGTTTTCCTGCAGTATTTGTTGAATACAGATTCTTTTCCATAGTGTATGTGTTTGTCTGCTTTGTCGAAGATCAGATGGGAACGAAAATGGTTTCATATGTGTTCTGAACCATAGGTCTAGGCCTCTGCTTTCGTGTTTCTCCTGTGCTGTTCTGGTTACTGTAGCCTTGAAGTATAGCTTGAAGTCCAGTAAAGTGATGCCTCCCAATTTGTTTTTATTATATAAGGTTGCGTTGGGCATCTGGGGTCTTTTCTGGTTCCACAGGAAGCGTAGATAACTCTTTTTTCTAGATCTGCAAAAAACAATATTGGTATTAAAAAGAGGGTTGTACTGAATCTGTCTGTGAATCTGTAAATCACTTTTGGTGCCTTATTAGTTTTCTTTCTCATGGGGATCAGGCCCTGGCTGCTTGTTCATTGTCTCTGAAACAGTTTCATACTTTTTGTCCAATATTCTAGGTGCCTAAGGTAAGAAGGTAAATTCAGTTTTTGTTTCTCCATCATGGCTAGAAGCTAGGGTGATATTTTTAAATGAATAAAACAATACATAGAAAGGAAGCCAATTTTTTGAAGTAATTTTAATAACATTTCATAACTATGATATGATATGGTGGTATACGTGCTAAATGCATTAAATAACAAAATATCGTGTGGAGTCTAGTCATTATCCTTGAATCCTTTACTTGACTCCACATTTGAAACTGCCACTTTAAAATTATCTATGCTTGCCCATGTGTCTCCTAAAAAGTCTTCCAGTAATCTCAGACATACAAATGCTGTAGTTAGAAGAATATTTCCTTTAGACAGTAGATATCATCACAGAGTCTGTCTTAATTTACCAAATGAGAAAAATTAAGCCTAATAGTTACTAATCCTTGATACAATACTAATATAATACAGGTTTAATATCCCTAATCCTATCTGAAATCTATATCCTCTAAAATCTAAAACATTTTAAGTAATGGCATGATGCTCGAAGGAGTTATTGCAGCCTTTCAGATTTCAGAATTTCAGATTGGGGACGCTCAATTGATAACTGTATAATGAAATTATTCCAAAACCCAAAATAATCCCAAATCCAAACACCACTGGTCCCACATGTTTCAGATAACAGATACTCAACTTGTAACAATTAGTGGTCATTATGCTTGTTAAGCAATTACCAATTAATATTAATAAGTAATCATTAATGACACTAATCATTAATAACAAAGCTGTGAATTTAAAAAATAATCTTAGGGCCAGGCGTGGTGGCTCACGCTTGTAATCTCAGCACTCTGGGAGGCCGAAGCAGGTGGATCTCTTGAGCTCAGGAATTTGAGACTAGCCTGAGCAAGAGCAAGACCCTGTCTCTAAAAAATAGGTGGGCATTGTGGTGGGCACCTGTAATTCCAGCTACCTGGGAGGCTGAGGCAAGAAAATTGTTTGAGCCTGACAAGTTTGAGGTTGCTGTGAGCTACGATGCTATAACACTCTAGCCAGGGCAACTGAGTGAGACTCTGTCTCCAATAAAATAAAAATAAATAAATATAATCTTACGTGGCTTATGAATGTTTTATTGTCTCTTTGCCATCAGTGCTTTTCCTTCTTTCTTTCCTTTTTTTTTTTTTTTTTAAGAGATTGTACTCTGTTACCCAGGCTGGAGTGTTGTGGCATAATCACAGCTCCCTGTAATCTTGAATTTCTAGGATCAAGTTATTCTCCTGCTTCAGCCTGCTTCAACCTTGAGAGTAGCTGGGACTTAGGAATGTGTCACCATGCGTGGCTGATTTTTAACTTTTTTGTAGAGATAAGAGTCTCCCTGTGTTTCCCAGACTGCTCTCAAACTACTGATTTCAAGCGATCCTTCCGCCTGAGCCTCCCAAAAGTGCTGTGATTATGGGCATTAGCCACCGTACCCAACCTAATTTCACTGTTTAATTGCTTCAGCATTCTTTTTAGGAAATAGTCTTAAGTCATTCCTTAGTTCAATAATTATTTAATAATCAGTAAAGCTTTGTATAATATAAAAAATTAAACATGCAAACTTATTGCTTAGTATAGCCTTAACTTCTTTGGGGGTTTTATATTATTATATTTGGTGTGAACTAAGATGAAGACCTCTACCACTGTAAGTCTTAGAGGATCCATGTTGTATAGTTGAATGACTTTCCTTTTTTTCCTCTGTGTCAGTGGTACATATGTCTTCCTGGTTGGTAGAAGGAAGGTAGAAAGGAACAGTTTGGTTTCTAGACTTAGATTTGTACTCAAGTGTATTGAGTTCTCTGAAGACAAAACTAACATGTAACTTATATAGGATTGTTTTGCTCATTATTTGGGGGATATTATGCTTTTCAAACTGACTATGAATAAGTGGTTATACAAATAAAAAATGATCAGTTCTTCTGTCTTTCTGTGTTTCTAGGTAGCTCTAATTACCCAGTATTGCAGCCATGGAGTCCATGCTTAATAAACTGAAGAGTACTGTTACGAAAGTAACAGCTGACGTCACTAGTGCTGTAATGGGAAATCCTGTCACTAGAGAATTTGATGTTGGCCGACATATTGCTAGTGGCGGCAATGGGCTAGCTTGGAAGATTTTTAATGGCACAAAAAAATCAACAAAACAGGTGAGTCTTAATTGGGTATCTGATTGAAAAAGGCACACCTGCTAAATAACGTAAAGGACATGTACGCATTTTTATAGTGCCGAAGTTCTTTAATGGGTTCTTAAATCAGTTCTTGAGTTCTTGTTTTACTACTTACAAAGCCAGCCGTACAAAAACAAACGCTTTGAGATGTGCCCTGAATCTCCTGGTTACAGATAAACTAACGTACCTTATCATCTTACAGTCTAATTTTGCTTTTTAATAAACATGTCAGTTGAGCAAATATTAGATTGTAATATTTAGCAAAGTGTATGTTTTAAGATAAAAATTGTCATGTTCCTGAAATTTCTTTTGCATATTTGTCAGTAAGTTATCGGCCAAATAACACATTTAAAGTTTTCAGTGTTAAGTGTGTGTTTTTTATCGCCCTTTTTACTATATAGCATTGTAGAAAATAGACTTCTATAACATTCTTGTGTTTAACCTCATGGTTTTTACCACTAGAGGGAAATATATTAGTGGAGTATAATCAGTAGTGTGTTTGGAGTTATGTTTATTTCATATTTACTGGAAAACTGTTCTTTTAGTAAAGAGTAGTTCAATTTGTAATTTTTTAAATATTTGGCTTAAGAGACCAACAGATGGTTGTTAGAAATATGGAGGATTAAATTTTGTTTACAGCTTTCTATTGGAACTGGTAAAGAATAAAAAATGTCTAGATTTAAAATTTCTGTAGAAGTATGTTCTTGTTTTCAAAAGGACTTTTATTTCCCTACAAGTGAAATATATGGATTGTAAGATGTAAGGGATAAAGACCAAATTGGCTTTGGTTATCCTTTTATGAAAACAGGAATCTTGGTCCTGTGGTAGATTGCTGCTATGTAGTTTGTATCTGACCTGTAAATCCTGTTTTTATTGCCATTTGGAAATCTTTTGTATCTTATTTATATATATATATTTTGAGACAGAGTGTCACTCTGTAACCTGGGTAGAGTGCTGTGGTGTCATAGCTCACAGCAACCTCAAACTCTGGGGCTTGCGCAATCCTCTTACCTCAGCCTCCGGAGTAGCTGGGATTACAGGTGCCCAACACAATGCCTAGCTAGTTTTTGTATTTTTAGTAGAAATGAGGTTTTGCTCTTGCTCAGGCTTGTCTTGAACTCCAGAGCTCAAGCAATCCACTTGTCTTGGCCTCTCAGAGTGTAGGATTACAGGTGTGAATCACTTCCAAAGCCTAAAAGTCTTTATTTAGATCCAAATGAGATCTATTGAGATCTGTATCTTATATGCTGATTCATTTAAGTTGTCATTTTTGAACATTGTTTTCTCTTTCAATTCACTTAGAGTTAGTTCATCCAAAAAGTATTTTCTTGAGTAATGACTACTTAAAAACCATCAGTGAGGTTATGAGGTTATACAGTTGACCAGCCTCCTTGAACACTAGCACAAATTACTAGTTATATAAAGGGTAAAACAAAAAAACACTAAATTTACAAAATTATGCTTTTTCTTTTTAGAGACAGGGTTTAGCTATGCCAGGCTAGCCTTAAACTCTTGAGGGCTTGAGCAAATCTTTTGCATGAGGCTGCCATGTAACTGGGACTATACCCACATGCTCCCGTATACAGCTCAAAATTAAGCATTTTTATTAAGGATGTGGTATAATATAATAGCATCTCTGTGCTTAACCAAATAGTTGAGATGTTTGTGTTGATACCAGTTCCTATGCTAAATCCCCTGATAATGTTGGAGCTTCTGTTGCTACTTACAGAACTTGAGAACCAGGCACAATTATAGAACCCCATTTTCAGCTGCTGTCAGGACTGGGTTGTCTTAGGAAACTTTACTTCGTTTCCTTTTTTTTTTTTTTTTTGCCAAATTTATTGCTTTGGAGTGAAAAGTAGTTTTGGGATACATCAGTGCTCTTAGTGAACGTGGTTTTAAATTTCCTGCTTTGCCTTCTTTAAACGGCAGGAATCAAAACTGAGTATCCTGTCTTTATTATTGTTTAATTCTGTAGAATAGCTAAGTCCCTAACCACCTTGATATTGAAGCCTCATTTTAATTTCTCTTTTAATTGAAATGTTTTAATTTTTTTGAATCGCCTCATTTTTATTGAAAGAGAATCATAGCAAAATAATCTAGAGCTCTGTTATTTCTAAATGTTATTTTGTATTTAAGTGCAATAGTAAGAAGGGGGGAAAGGGCAGATCCAAGAGTTGGATCTGTAACTGACTGTGAATGTTCAGTTTAAGATAACTCACTACCTTTGGACCAGCCATGCACATCTATCTAAATTAATTAAATTAAATCAAATTATTTCAAATATTCTATTGTCACGTGGCCAGCACTATTGTATTGGACAGTGCAGACAATTTCTGTAAGAATAAAAGGTTGTATGGGATAGCACTAATCTAGTTAAAAACTGGAAGAAACAGAATAAAAAAGATACTATTTCTAGTCTTATTTTCTTCCCCTGTAAAGGGGTATTGAGATTTAGGGCATCTTTTTTACCCTCCCAGCGTTTCTTATTCTGGTATACTAAGTACTTGATTCCAGTTGATAGCAATATTTAAGATATTACATTTGAAATTGACTTACAGGTAAACAGTGGGCTAGGGACCTTGGGGTGGGGAGAGATCTCATACCTGTTGTTGCATGATGGTAAATTATCATGAGATTCAAAAGTAAAATTTGCTTCTCGTTTTCTTTTTCTGCAAACACACTTCATTATTTTACATGATTTTCAAGAAAAGTGTCAAAACATTGCTCTACCAAAAAAGCCAACAGCTCAACAATATTTCTGAGTTAAAATGCTCCTTATGTAAGTAGTACTTTGAAAGTTTGTGTGTCCTTTTAAAGGTTATCTGTGTATTTTTTTCTAGGGTTATTTCAAGTTCACATTCATAAATGATGAACTATGATTTTCAGATCATGTATAGCTTTTGACTTTTTAGTCTAAATGCCCCTAGCAAAAGTAGTAATAAATAATAGCACCTACAGAGCAGATGAAAAAGTAAACATTTCTGAAAGCTGTGATGCAGCACGATGAGGAAAAGGTTTAGTAAATAAAATTTTACCTGTGTGCCTGATAGCTTCTTGTGCCTCTTCAGCACATCTGTGTTAGTATTCTGGCTTTATGTTTCCAAAACCTAGCTTCTCTTGATTCTTACTGTTTATGAAGGACATTCAAGTAAAATAGCTCATAATGAATAATTCATGAAAGTGGAATAAAGAATTGCTGAGAGTCTTCAAAACAAGTGTATGGTTGGTTTTTTGCAGTTAAAGTTCTTTAAGTTTTTAGGCTAGTTTTGTCTACAAGATAAGCTGTTAAGATTTAAAAAAAATTTTAATGTGGACAAACTTAATCAAACGTAGAGTCTGTTGTAAACATGTTAAACTGATCTTTAATGGTAGCTTATTGGCATTTGAAGCTACTTTTAAAGATTGTGTTCTTGGGGTATAAGCCCTGGGTACACTTGTAGAGTTGTTTAATTTCCTTTTTGAGTGTTCATTTAGAAGTAGCCCTTTCTCCCTAACTACCGTTCTTTGTGGAATCTGGTAGGGATGCTATAGACATTTCTAGGTGATATTTAGAGAATTAAAAATTGTTTCATCTATTTAATTTTTAAAATATAAACTCACTTTTAAGAACTTCTGTACAACCTGGAATAGTGCACAAATCATAAAAGTGCAGCTTGAGAAACGTTCACAGTGATTACCCTCTTGTAACCAGCAGTCAGATCAACAAAACACCACTGATACTCACAGCCTTTCCAGTCATTATCCCGACCTCTTCTCTCCAGGGGTAACGAATATCCTGTCCTTGAACACTTTAGAATAATTTTGTCTGTTTTTGAACTTTATTTAAGTGGAATCATGTGGTTTGTACTCTTGTGTTTGGCTCCTTTTCCTGAACAGTGTGTATTGTTGAACATAGCCGTTTTTCTTTTCATTGGTAGGGTACTGCTGTGACCATTTCTATACATGCCAGTGGCGTGTATGACACCTTACCTAGCTAGGTATGAGATTCTGAGGTTGTGGTGTGTTTGTTTAGTGCCAAACAGATTTTTGAGTGGTTGTACCAATGTTCATTTCTAGTTGAACAGTTTCTCCTATCTCTGCTAACCTTGATATAGTTAGTCTTTTTAGCTTTAGACATTTTAGATGAAGGGAGGGACTGTTTAATTTTAGAAAATCGTGTGAAATATTCTCCATTCCCCCTTCCTCTTCAACTTTCAAAGTATCTGAGAGGTAATTACAGGCATGGGTTTATACCATTATGTCTCAGTTATAGCTTTGTAACTGACTTAGTGTGTATAGTTTCATGTTTCCATGCTTAAAGTGGTTACCTGAACATAGGCACTCTTTTCAAACACATTCGCACATCCTTTTTTATGAATATTTATTGGAGAGGCATTTCTGAGACAAATGCCCTAGAGTGGAATTCATGGGTTTTACTAATTTTTATGCTATATTTTATTTAAACAGGCTATTAAAGATGGAAATTTCTTTGCCAATCTCTTCTCTGTTTCTCTGTCTCTGTGTAAATAAAGAAGATAAATAAGAGATGTTTGCCGTATAAACACATACATTTATATTTATATGTATGTATATTCTTTAAAAATTGAAAGACTGTCTTATCTGTTAGGAATATTATGACTATCAAGACTGCTAATTTGATTAATTTATAATAAAACACTAATATAGTTCTGTCTCATACCCTTTCATGTGTCCTTTGTGAAGCTAAGGGATTTATTTTTGGAGAAAATGTTTTTTAAAAACACTGTGTTCATCTGGGAGGCACCTGTGGCTCAAAGGAGTGGGGCGCTGGCCCCATATACCAGAGGTGTCAGGTTCAAACCCAGCCCCAGCCAAAAACTGCAAAAAAAAAAAAGGGGGTGCATTTTGTTTAACTATATATGTATGAGGTCTGACAATTAAGTTTGTAAACTCATCCCAGACAAAGTGCTGCTACACACCTTATTGCTGACTATCACTACAGCTGTTTGCTCGGTGCT